CTTCCCTGGTGTGGAGCTTCAAAGCGTCACTGCTTGTTCCTAATCAGTAATAATCTAAATTCACACAAACCTCGCTTCAGAGGGCCCTAGTACAAGGCTAGCGCGAAGTGCCCTCGCGCCCTCCAAAGGAGATGATTTGCATTGGGGTGCTCTGCACCCCCGAGTCCTGGGAGGCTTATTTGGGTCATGGATTAAGATGAGTGGAAACCACTTCTAATCCAAAATGTAGATCCTATAGTAAAGTTTTGTTGGGGGAAATTTTATGCTTCTCATTAAAATTTATGAAAACATGTTACATGGAACTTTCTTGGCATCCTGACAAGAAATGAAGCATGATTGACTGGTAAGAAATTACAAACAAGAAACACAGTCCAAGAGATCAAAACAAACTCCTCAAATTGCTGCTTCCCCGTGCCAAGAAAAAGACAGGAATAGAGAACCAAAGGTCCAGTGGCCATTATATTATTTAAAGAATGAAATGTGCGGCTCGAAATTCTCATTGGCTTGTAGTGGGGGTTTGGATTGGACTAAACTTCAATAAGATCGAGCCATGAGTCTCCAGAGTAGAATCGATTTTGTGTTGGAAAGAAATGCTGCTCAAGTCTTTCTGGTTCCACAAGTCTCTCACCGAGTATCGCATTCCGGTCATTTGCTTGATTCTTGGGCTCTTTTGAAGGGTTTGGAGTTTGTTCAAGCTGATATCCACTTTGACTGGCTCTGATTCAGGAACATTTGAGAATGGGTCAGCAACCAAACTTCATTTGCATGATCAGAATCTAGTTTTTCTGACTCACTATCACTTGAGTTCTGTTGACCAGCATTGATAACTGCCACATAGATATCGCCCTGACCCTGCTCTAAGACCCAAGATTGGAGGCTCCATTGATCCGGTTTGACACCCTCACCGGCCGAGAGTGCTTGAAGGCTCATCAACTTCTCACTTGCTCGAGATTTCAAGCAAGATTTTTGGAAATCATCGGAGTTATCGACTTTTTGATGCGTGCCATACTCAACTACGATTCGGCGTTTTTCGGCCAGTTCTCCACATTCCTGAGCAGACTTTTGGTGAACTGCTGTGGTATCTTTGGCCTCAAGCTGGTTCAACGATTGCAAGTTGGCTGTTTGCGCGGGCTGCACGCTGGGATCGAATCCGTCCAATCTGGCTTGGTTCGTGGACGCTAAAATGGCGAGTTTTAGCACTTCGGGATTCTTTACTAAGGCCTTTCTAGCTTCTGGTAACTTTGTTAGATCGTCTCCCAGATAGATTATCGAGCCCTAAGTGAGCAAAAGAGAAAAAAATAACAACCAGAAATGGTCCAATCAAAGCCTAACTCGACAATTTGTAATGGGTATAAATCTGGACGTACAAACATTGCCCAGATAGTAACCATCGTCTTGCATTCGGCTAACGACATGTCGCTTATCAGAATGGAGTCGAGATCCCTCGCTCCTTTCCATTTGCGATTCGCATCGACAGAGGACCAGAGTGCAGCTGTCTTAGCATTACGGATGACCCGGTCAAACGTCGTCATTTGGGTTTCGCTGTAGGCCTCAATATCCTGTTCAACTCGAAAGCTGTTCATGTATTTTTCCATAGTCGAACCAGCATTTGTCGGGATTTTCCAACTCGCGCCTAGCCAAATTCGTTCCCGGCCTTGTTTGGTGCCACTTTTGCTCGTACAACTCATCGATCGCCCTTCTCC